CCTAGACATCTTGCCAGCTACACCGACATCAGGCATTAAATAAAAATAAAATAAAAACCGTGTAAATGGGCAAGACAATAATGATTGAAGAAATATATCGTTTGTAACATTATTTTATTACGTACTTATGAGAGTAAATATCTCATATTTTGTTGATAAATGTTATGTAAAATAACATAATAAGTCCTCTACTAACACAGTAATAGGACGTTGCTTTATTTTCATGACGTAATCTCTAAAAAAATGGCGCCAATCATTCGTTCACCTGGTTAACTGTCAAGGTTGTTAAAATAATTATTGAAATAATTTAATGCAGTTGTAATTACAGCCTTATTAAAACGTTGGTATTTAACGAAATCAATATGCTTCCCTTGAATCTATTTTTTGCAGAATTTAATGCCATTCCTAAGATCATACCACCGTGCACTTCACAACAAATATTGGCACAAAACAAAACAACACTCGATACTTTTTTTTATTAATAATATTATTAAATCTCAAGTCATTTATGATTGTCCATCAATTAATCTTTTCTTCGTTTAGGAAAGGCAATAAATTGTTTATCAAAGTGACGTAAGTACAGGAAGATTACAAATACAGCAGTGGATGAGCAAGCAAATCAACTCAGCACCATCTAGTGAAACAAATTGCTACGCGTATAAAGCAATACATATATATATTCTTGATACTTTAGTTTTTGCGACTTTTCACGTTAACGTATTTATAAACTGATGTATAACAATCATACATGAGATCACAGAGTACGTGAATACCCTGGCAAATCACCAATTACGCGAGAAACTTTGTCTCATTCCCCTGTCACAAGCCCTAGCTGGCTGAGGAGAAGACATAGTTTGCAGCGTCAAGTATTTTATAGTTTACAACAGCCTGGCATCCATACATAGCTTCGTACCGTACAATAAAACAAATATTTACAATATCTTCGCTCTCACTGCCTTTATAGGAGACACTAAAAAAATAACTCTCTTTCGAAATGAAAAAGAATACAACCTACAGAGTTTGTCTTTAGAAGTAGAATATAGTCACGATTAGTCCTTTAGCACCATCCGTATATAAAATTTTGCATCAAGACAGTGAGAGTTCATTTGAAACTTTTCCATCGATACAATAGAATACCTACGCTAATAATTAAAGCGTCATTTAAGGTTAAAAATGGCTTAGCCACGACAATTTTTTCCTCAAGTTTTAATATCGCAAACCCAAAATAGATTTTCATTGAACTATTCCTTTTAAAATAATAAGTCATTTAAAAACGAAAAGAAATATTAGTAGAACCAAAATATTCGCCAATAAATACTAAAATATATACAATTAATTACTAAGTTAGCCAAGCCAAAACATTGTAGCACCAAAATTATCCAACAACAGTACTGACAGAAAAGTTTCACAATAATATATATAGTTATATATATGAGGTACCTTATATAATATAATGACATGCAGTCCATTTCTAATGTACACTATTAAATGTTTAAAACAATAAGTTATTCTTATTACACTCGCTTACGGTACCTATATTGAATAATATATATTAATAAGTAAATGGTAATTTATTTTTTTCAAAGTGTCTCTGACTAGAGATATAACCTATTCTAAAACTGAAATCTTATCTATAACAACTAACTACGTAACATAGCACTCTTCGAAGGAAAAATATCGTCAAAAGGAAAATCGTTTCGATTTCATTTCTACAATTTGAGCTTAGCCAAAGTCACTCCGTGAAATCATATTTCACAACTCAATCGATTTGATGGATTCTCTTTACCCCGGCGATGTTTAGCTAACGAATTGAAAAATGTATCTTTAACGAGAAAAGAGATCACAAAATAGTTTGCAAATCTCACGATATTTTTTATAATAATAAATTATGCTGCCAATTAATGTCGTGAAATATTTATAACATAGTTTTCATGGAATAAAAGGGGATAGAATTTGACTTAACCATTTTCCCGCCACATTGCGTCGGCCATTTTAGATATTCACAAGATTATTCTTTACGCGATAGTGACGAGCAAATGGTTATGTCAACTTCCATAAAAATGTACAACCCTTTTTTACATATCCATGATTCCTTCAGTTCGCTACATAATTTAAAAAACAAAGATGTGATTGGGATTTATTTTACAAAATCGCCTCAAATCTGGTATGAACATTTTGGCAATAGCAGTTCAACTAAAAAAAAGGAATTTAAACAAACAAAAATACTGAATGGTGATGTACTTAGAGAATGAATGTAAACTGGTACCTTGATGTTAAATATTTTTTCAATATTATAGCAAATTGATAATTTAAAACAAAATTAGTAATTCATATGCAAATCCAATGCTAATTATTATCTTAAGATTTAATGACCGCCTGATAAATTAGTTTGTTCGTACCAGATGAAAAATATAATAACTCGAGGCGCCATGAGGTCATAGCTTATAATCACACAAGTCCGAACATAAATCATCCGAAATAAGTGCCCGTTGACACAAGTTTAATACATAAATAATAAATTGCTCAGTCACAAAAAATATGCACTAAATCAAAATGCACTGTTACTGGCAAAGGCTAAAACGCGTGGCTCAAATTTATTACAAAACGTATATAAATTATATTTAAACGTAAAAGTCCGTCAGCCGCATTTCGGTTATCGACAATACCTACTTACATAACATTTCTTTGAGTTCTTAAAAATATTTTAAAAACTCATCACTCGTTAAACTTTTGTTTACGACGTAAAAATCACAAGATTTCAATAAATTAAAATGCTACGAAAAGACTTATGTCTTGGAAGAAAACTAAAGATAATCAAAGCTTGTGATGACAATGTAAAATTACAATAATTATTATTTTAGTATCGACCGAACCAATTAGGAATTTAATTTACGGTGTGTTCTTCTACATGTGGACTGTAACACCATGGAGGCTAAACGACCAATGTCCATGAGTCCAAACAGTTTCCGAACACCACCAAAGACCACTTGTTGACAACCAATTTTTTTTTCTTTTTAAAAAATACAAAACCTAACACATTACAAGAATCAGGCAGTGATTATTCCACCACAATTAAAAATTATTGCTCGATAAAAAACAAATTGTTGAATAGATTAGAATCTAAATGAAAATCAGTGTCTTACATAGTTTTTCTTAATTTAGACCAATAAATTTTTATGTACAATGAGGTAGACTGCGGGATACACCCTTATTTAAAGATAATTTTGTTGGCCTGGACTCTACTAGAATAGCTATAACTTACGAAATATTAACAACTGTCCCCGAGCTGCGAGTCGTGTACGAATCACGTATGATTGAATGAAATATATTTAAATTTTAATTCAGTGGCATAACAATACAGTGGCAAAATCTGTTGTGGGTGCAAACCTGGTTAGGCCGCAAGCTCAGTAAAACCTTAACATTTAAAACACAATATGAAACTCTTCTTTACATGATTGCCTGTGCCTGTTACAAACCAGTAAGTGGGACCAATGGTTCTCATTATGCCACTGCACTAAAATTATTACAAAAAACCTGAAGACATAGTATTAGATTAAAACAGATGGAAGACGTCCACTGTCGGCTATAGAAGCCATAATAATATTTTGCTTAACTCACAGCTCTAAAGAGGGACAGACGAAAGAACAAAAGTTCCTGTAGAGCTGACACAACAAAATCTCATCGATTAACTATAAACATTACGAATGTGCCTCATTCCTTCTACAATTGGCTTGTGTCTGTAAACAAATATAAACTTATTTCCACGTGGTTTCCATACAACCTTTAACATATAAGAGGTATGATGCAAGTATGTGTTTCAAATATTATTACTATTTGGTATGGCTGAGGTTTTATACAGAGTTATTTATTCAAACGAAAGTGACGCAGAACAAAATGTAGGAGGCAGGTCGATATTACACCATCAAAATGTTTAATGATTTACGTAATGGGTCTATTATATCGCGTGTACAATGAGCTTTATAAGTAATAACGTGATTATCAAGTGATTTATAGTGTAAGACCGCCCACTGATCGTATCTACTTCTTACTATTCCGGAACATGAAGTTTATAATAAGTTTATGTACTGTACACGAGTAGAAGATAACTTAAAACGCTGATATTATTGCTTATTGTATGTACACAGATATTGCAAATAAATCTTAAAAATAACCCTGTATAAATTATGCTTATGGTTGTAGTTTTATAACTATTTTACTATATTATATTATATGTGAGTATTTTGTTAATAAGGTATTGGAAAAGCACAGAGTTGAGGTTATATGAAAAGGTAACAGACGTACCTCAGAATGGCACACGTTGAAGAGACTACAAGAAAAACTGTATATTGTACAAAAAACTAATTTCATAAAACTGTACTTGATATGATTATGTACAACTATTTTTTATCTGCATCATGCTACTGTATAATCTGTGGTAAAAACGATTCTCTCATTGAATCTGCACACCGTGGCAACACCGAAACAGGTGTCGCCACATAAAATTATTCAAAACAGTATAAATAGAAAGAGGTCTCGATCGACTCGGTTTCAAAGATCAACAATATCCAAGTAGAGAAAAATATTTACACGGTGCCGCGTACGAGAGCGTACTTCGTGATCGGGTCAGCACCTCCTGGCTTTGTACTGTGTGTACTGAGACGCAATGTCACTGAGCGTTCATCGCGAGTCACTGAGAGCGCAGCCGGGTGATGACGCGCGTAGGTCAACACGGCGGCGGCTCGGCCTCCTCCAGCTTAGGCGGCGAAGGCTGCGGTGGCGCGGGCCGCTCGCCCAGCGCCTGCTCGCGCCGAGCCAGCTCCACCTCGCGCTGTTCAAGCCGCGCCGCGCGCCGCGCCAGCTCCGCCTCGCGCTCGTCCAGCTGCCGCGCGCGCTCCGCCAGCCGCGCTCCGCGTCCAGCAGCCGAGCTGCCAGCTCCGAGTCACTGTGCGGCGGCGGCGAGGTGGACGAGGTCACATCGTCCACTGGCGGAGTGAGCGGCTTCAGGCCACGTTGGGCTGGTAGTCGCGCTCGAAGGAGGTGCAGTCTGCTACGCGCACCACGCGCTCGGGGTGCTGCAGCACGGGCTCGCGCTTGTCCCATGGTCGGAAGGCGGAGAGCGCGCGGTAGTGCAGTGCGTACGGGTCCAGTAACAGCGCGTACGTTGTGTAGTCCTCGCTGCGCACCTTCTTCGGCGGAGACTCCGGCGGCTCCGGCTTACACACCACTGTCTCCACCACCTGGAATCAAAACAAACTCTCATAAATACAATGTTTCCAAATATACTGATACAATTCGTACTTATAAGTAAAGATATCGACATGATGACGTCAATTGCCTGGCGGCAATAGTCGTGTAATCAGTGCGGGAGCGTTGAAAACGATGCTTTCCTGGACATATTTTAATGCCTATTTCCTGGTTATAAAATATTTATATTTTGTATTTCCTCCCGATTACTTGTAATTAAAATGATTTCAGGATATTGTAGTAGCTATTATACACGAGAAGTAATTAGACGCCTAGGAACTCCTCGCATAATTATCCGCAGCATATGCGCTGCACCGCAGTGTAGCACAAATCAGAAATATAAAACGTGGTGCAGTTCTCAGTGGAAGTATTTTTCTGTCTCCGGCAGTCGGCAGTACATAAATACATTAATGTCAAAGGGTCACATTACTGACGTCAATGGCTTATCTGAACAGCCAAGGAGCGACGAGGACTGCACTCATAACAAATGTTCTACATCCTACATCTGTCTAACCGGAGAAATAAACATTATGTAGTGTCTAATTCAAGCTTAGATTTAATGCTTCTAAGCTGGCGTGACTTGACGCGTGTCATAGCGTGGGTAAACTATGTATGGATAGTGCTCGTTACTATTCTCCGTCGTTGTGCTGGGCTGGCTCATTTATATCGTAGTTTAAACAAAGGAAAGGAATTACTAGTTGGGTGTCGGTTCAGGAGCCAGCCTCATGTGTGGTACACAAAGGATTGAATGTTTGCTCAATATGTAGTGGGGCGCTTCAGAAGCCATGTAATCTCATGGGCCCTAGAGCAAAGCACGTCATCTCGTTCGAATGAGCACAGCTAACCACATCGCTATCAGCAAAACACATTCGTCTTACATAACGCAGGTGCGAGGGGAGGGGGCAGACGGCGCGCGTCATCACCGCCCTCAGCACCCCCCCGTGGGGGTGAGGCGCGGATGTAGGTCGCGGCCAGGCCGCAGACGACCCCCAGACGCCAACCTCGCCCTGCCCTGACGCACCAAACACTCACACCCCAGCGACTAATGCGTAAATGTTAGCCTGTTAAACATTTTGTCTCTCAAAATAATTAGGAAAATAGCTAAACACGGTTCGTAACTTTTCCTACTTTCGTATGTTTTTTTATCAGCTCGGCCGTCCACTAATGCTTCCTACATTTCGTAATCAAAGCGATACGCCGCCAAAACTATGCCTCTATTCAGTTGATAGTTCGTTATCGAATTCCTTGTACGAATAACAACACGAAAAATGTGGGAGAAATAACATGCCGATACGTTATCAACATACTCATCATTCAATCTACAGCTTTGTATTGTTTATTTGACGGGGCGATCGATTCTAGACCTTGTGGCGAGGAGATAAACAGCACGTTACTATCTAAAGGCTGCGTCAAAATGGCGTCGGGCGCGTTCAAAACACTGGCTCCAAAACAATGTACGTAATGAGAGAACGGCGGGGTTTCCGTCGAGACTCATCTGCGGAACGTGTGCTAAGATAACTGGTGTAAGTGGAGCTCCCTCGGCGCTCCGAGCTTCGCACGTCACTCAGTCGCAAGGGCCCGAGGTAGGTAGGTCAATGGGCTTTCTAGGCTCAGAGTAACTTGGCCGCGTGGGTGCGGTCCAACTAACATATTTCGGCCTACTTGCAATTTAGCAACTGTTTTTCTGTCGGCACGTGCCTACATACGGCCTACGCTGCGTGCTATTAATACGTTTTTCCCTAACAACCCCCGATGGCTCACGTTGTACTTTATCGTCACAATAACTACGTAACTTATAGTCAATAGTTAAAAACTATGCGGACTCATGAAGTAGAAGGTCGCAATAACTTCGGCTTCTATTACGTGGAATAATGTATTGAAACCATGCCACAGCGATACTATAAATTCCTTGATAGCAAAACAAAAACATATTTTTGTGACAGGCATTTTTAATTCCCTTTTGTTTTTATAAAAAAAATATAAAAGGATAGCTGCTACCGCTAGCAGGCAGTTCGCAGTAACGACCATCCCGAATTCCGACACCCAATAACTCATTTGCGTTTGCTTCCATTACCGGGTTACATAACGTTATTTTATGTTTTGCTTGTGGATAGCAGCTGATACATAGCCCGTACGTTTTTCTATGTAATTCAGATCGGATCAATGTTTAAAGTTTACACGTCAGTGAAAATGGGCAATGAACTAATGAAATTGCCAGGGTTGTCATAAACAAAAACGTTATTCGTTCTATAAAATATTGTAAGTACTTTTTTAACATGATTTTTTTTTAAGTAAACAACGAATTGTAATCCCTTGCTTAAGCCCCTCTGGTTATTTTTAGTAATAATGCTTCAACGAGGATTAAAATTTCCCCTAACAATTTGCATTTTAGAGACAATCAATAAAGCGACCATGCTGTACCTACAATAGGTATTTTTAAATGAAAGATTAAATGTTATTATTTTCCTTTCCAAGTTACGTTGTTATTGCATTAAATATAGAAATATTGATCGGTCGGTATAAACAAGTACTGACTTGTGTACTTAGTTAATCGCTAGCACTAATCGTAATGTAAACAACAGCGGTTATTGATTCACGTCGTGTGTGGCTATCTATGTTTAACATTAAAAACAAATTATTTTATGACCACACGTCTTTTTACTACACGAAAAGGTACATAAACCGGTGCTAATGCACGAGAGGGTAACCCCAGACTCCGTAAAAACCACTTTAAAATGTAATTTGTCCTATCGAAGATTTTGAAATTGGATACTGAATTTTTCCTGTGACTAACGCACCATTTTTTTCTGTTTTGCTGACTAACAATGGCAGACAGAGTGTGTCTACATAGTGTCAGTGCACAAACACACGTGCACTCTATTTCGCTGTCAAAATTCGATAGAACAGCGGATTGTTACAACGACAGTAATGTCGGAGTTCACGCGGAATGGCAACGTGACTACCACGTGCTCCGCAAACTCGATAGCATCAAAATAGAAACCCAAAAATGTGTAAAACGATTTTCGTAAAAGGAAATGTTTGTTGAGGTTTTGCTTTGTGGAATATCATTTTGTTTCCATGTTTAAAAATATTGTTATGTCAAAATATTGGAATAGATACACACCCAGTCTGTTCAGTACACCTACTTTCATTAGTAACGTTGGATGCTTTATCTTTGTAAAAATTATGTTTGTAAAAAGTCTGACTCAGTGTTAGTGGATCCCAAAAAAAAAAGTTAATTAGACCTTGCCCACAGACAAATATATAGAAAATCGTTAATGAAGTGTTTGTATAACAATGAAACTTATTATAACAACGTAAATAATCAAATTACGCAGAAGATAATGAATTAAATAGTGTCGCTTTATCGCTAAAGTAAATTAATTATTTAGGTAGCGTCCTCAAAATGGAGTAGAGATAATGTTTATTAATAAATTTAATATAATTAGTGACATTTTACATAAATGAATGAGGTACTACCAGGCTCTCGATTATATGAACTGTTTGTTACCAACGGCTCATTTCTGTATTTTGTACATTTATTGAAAGTAATAACCTGTTTAAATAATTGGAGTTGTATATTTCATATGCAATATGTGTCACTGAAAGCGGCGTAGACGCATCTAAACTTATATTGACCTAACTGTTGCAAGCATCTAGGAAGTATCTATGATAAACCCGGTAAAGGAGGGTATTTGTACAACCTTTTGAAAGTCACGGTCGTCTATACTTGAAAAACAAAATGTGACGTGGTCCGTCGCAGTCGGCCACAGCCGACGATTTTAAGTACATTTAGTTTTTCGGCTATACCCGACCGCGACGGTCAAAAGGTTAACAGTAAACATCTGATGATGTTGTGATCTGAAAGCTTGGTTCAAAGTCAAAGTCAAAATTATCTATTTCAATTAGAACAAGCAGGATCTTTTGAAAATCAACAAAAAAATTAAGAGTGTCTGTCCTCTAGTGAAGACTTTTGGGTGTTTGAAATTGTAGATTCCTATGGAGACGAACGATAATTCCTACAAGTACATGTGTCTTATCTACAATCATGTGCATTCTTCCTGATCTAGATAGTATTTTGCAATGGTTCCATAAACGTGTCAGCCATTTCAAGATGCGCAATTTCGTATATTATCTACAGATAAAACCGCAAATAACCTCGCTAAGTTCTTCGTCGCAAAATCAATAAACGGAGTTTGTCCGACCTCCTTTCAAATAAAATTGCATTCTAAAACCAAGAAGGTTGAATGCTTAATGGCTAATACACAAATTAAAACGATATTTAATATATCATGATGATTAGTGTGAATGGGCTGATATATTATTTCCTGTGTAGGTAGCGAAAATGCAGCATTTAATCTCTACAGGTGTTGGCTTTGAAATCCCTATCTGTTAAAGAATCAAAACAATACTTCATGGGCAAAGACGTGACAATTTCAAAATTAGAAAACAATTTTTTTTTTACAGGAGTCAAAGAAAAAAAAACATTACTAATTTTCGTATGTTCTTGTGTGCCAACCCTAAGCTACAGTAGCCGTCAATGGACGGGCAAATTGTTTAGACAAGATGCGTAAGACATCGGCTGAGATGGCTAAGATCCATGAATCGACTCCGTAAATCTTTTAAAAATATTTACAACATAACTAATCTTCACGCCTGTTTTTCGCTGAACAGCTAGGCAGAGTTTTGCAAACAACACTCACTCTTTGCTAATTACATGCTTAGTACGATGGTGTCATTGCCACGATAACAATTCCTGACTTCGTGCTAATACTCAGAATTTCAACAGTTTCAGTAATTCATACAAATTGTAATTTAAATGATATTGGATAGTAGGTACCCTGTTGATTAATCACGTCAGACGAATTTTTCGAACCAATAAAATTAAACTTTTAATCCGAGAGATAGGAATATGAGCCTTTGGCCGAATCGTCTATTAAAAATAGTCTATGATCAATTAACGTCAATTTTGTTATTTATGCTCGTGGCACCGTCCATAAAATATATTATTATTTGCATATGTTCCGAAATAAAGACAAGATAAAATTATATCTTTCCAAAAACGTCAGTTACCCAGCGATACGAATAAATCATTTTGGAAATTGATTTAAAAAGTTGCGTCCAGTACAGCTGGCACACAATAAATTGACAATATAGAGGTACAGTGGGTATTCTCATAGGGTTTGGCAAAAATTTTCCTCATTTTTTAATGTTTTTTTTTTTAATATGTTTTGTGTGGCAGCGCTATTCCATTTTTTTCCTGTTACCTACTTGTGAAATAGGTTCTAATGAGGCGTTAAATGTAGATACCTTTAATCTTTGATTTTTTCTTTTAAAACATATTAGGAAGAAATTCCAATAGGAATAGGTGGTACTATTGTACTTTAATTATATATGTGTTGTCCTTTATGTTGTATGTGTGTGCATAAATAAATAAATATTATATAAAGTCTAATCCAATAACTACATAATATTTCATCATACTGTTATTATCTATGTATTTCAGTACACTTTATCATTTCCGAATATTTGCTTGTGTTTAACTATCTATAAATTAAAAACCACGTAAATTTTTAACAATGGCAACCCTACCAATATAACTTTATGGTAATGTCGCATGATTAATCGTATTAACGTTTATCTAAACAATTTATCTCCTTAAACTCTCATTCGACTATCTACGACCTTCGTCTGTGATTGGATTCTCGCAAATATCTTATTATGGAAATGTCTGACAAGATAAACTTTGAGGCACGTTTTAATGATCATGATCAAAATGTTTTTTTTTTTAAATAAATAATTATTGTCTTTGGGTGTGTATAAGAAGAAAGGGTACTTTTCTTTCCTCTGGCTCTTTCCCGACATGGCTAATAAGGGTGTACAAAATTCATTCTACTTTTTGGCCTTAACAACTAAAAGTTCACAATATTTCCACGCTCACAATAACAGAATAATTTTACAATAATTTTCTATAATAATATGATAATAAACAATATTTCGTAAAATAATTCTATTTGTTCATTTTACCATGAATAGGTAATCAAAGCTTATGTGATGTACAAAAGTAATCGTTACGTAACCTAGTTGCTAAAAAGATCCTTTATCTTAAAACCAAAAAGTCTAGGAAAACTATCATATTTTTTACATAGCATAACATCACGCCTTTTATCTCCGAAGTGGTAGACAGAGGTGCACATTATGCCACTGTACAATGTAACACTCACTTTTCACTATTTATGTTATGAGTACCATGTAATAGGGGGTGAGCCTATTGCTATATACCGGCCACAATTCCAGACTCCGTGCTACTA